AGACAGATTTCATATTCTGGATGTGTTGCCCAAGTTTTTTTTTTCATCTTCTTTATATCATCTGATTTCTTTCTTCTCACAGTTATGGCTTACGATAGGTATGTTGCTATTTGCAATCCATTACAGTATGAAATGTTGATGAACAAGCAAGCCTGCCTTCAAATGACTGGTGTTGTTTGGCTCAGCAGTTTGCTTAATGCAATGTTACACACTGGTGGTACTTTTGCACCACCCTTTTGCTCCAACACTGTCAATGGTTTTTTCTGTGAAATGCCCCATTTAGTGAAGCTTGCTTGCTCTGATATGTACCTAATTGAAGTTGGATATAGTGTATTAACTGCTGTAGTTGCAATAGGATGTTTCATTTTCATCACTGTGACATATGTCCATATCTTTACTGCAGTGCTGAAAATTCCCACTGTGCAGGGAAGGCAGAAAGCTTTTTCAACTTGCCTTCCCCATCTTATTGTGGTTTCCCTATTGATATTCACAGCATGTACTGTCTACATGAACCCTTCCTCTAAATCTCCACCATATCTTGGTTTGGCCTTCACTATATCATATTCCATGATTCCCCCTCTAATGAATCCAATAATCTACAGCATGAAAAACAAGGGAATAAAAAATGCTCTAGCCAAGCTCTTGGGTTTAAGATTGTCTTCTGCAAATTGTCTTTAGCCTTGTTCTGCAAAGTATCCGGACACAGGAAGGGCGAAATAAAGCCCTTGCACTGTGGATCCGGCTGTTGCCCTCCTTGGTGCTGTGAAGTCGCGAGACAGCACGGGCCACGGGTCAAGGGGGTGGCAGCTAGCGTTTACTTAAAATGAACGCTAGCCACAGAATCACCCTCCTTCTCTTTCAGGCACCTATTCGCCCGCCCGCCCTCTTTCTAGTGTGCCTTTGGGGTTCTCCTTATTGGGCCGGATAGGAATTTTTGACTGCTATCCTGATTGGCTAATGGATGGAGGGATTTTTCGCCTATCCCACACTGGAGAAGGGTTGTTGGCATTTGAGTGGTGGTATTCTCGGCCACACTGGCGGGTAGTGCGGGAAAAAAACTTGTTGCCTCAGTGTGTCCCTTTGATAATTATGCGGATCATGTGATTACAGGGCGGATCATGTGATTACAGGGCCGGCGGTGGGAGATGCGCTGGGCCACTTTCGGACAGACAGTCATCAAATAAAGATGGCTAGAGGTCTGGAGTGTTTAACATAGGCTGCCCGGGTTCCTGATGTTGTAAAGACAGATGGAACCCGGGGCCTGGGACTCACCCAATGGCTGATTAGGGTATAGTGGATGCCCTGCGTTTCTTACTCTGCACTACCGCAGGCCCCCTCATTTTATGATAATAATGGTATCTATAATCAGAATTGAATTAATAAAGTGGGTCCTGTATTTTAATCCATATTTCTGTCTTGCGTCTTCATTTTGGGGCCTGGGAGGGCAAGGTGAATTATTTTTGTATCTGTCATCTCTGGTGGTATTGCAGGGAGAGACAACTTAGAAAGTTTTTCACTCTCATGGGGACATAATGGGTATATGCATTGGTAACACAAGTCATTTTCCATACTAAACATAATTGAAGAATTTCCCTATTCAATAGACATTGATAGTTAGCTGAAATAGATTTTGTAAAGTTAAAAAGAACAAAAATTGTCCATGCAGGTGGCAGAACAGATACAGATGTTGGTTGGTGATCTAGAAAACCCTCCATATATAAACTGGTTAACATAAGTAGTGAGATAAAAAGTCTTTGATCAACAGTGTCCCTGCTGAATCTGTCTTTGAAGTTCAAGGATAGTTGATCCTGAAGCCAGCTACAATGCATGCTAGGAGAATGATGTGTCCTTAAACAGTCATGTTAACCTTTCTGATACTATGTCTGGTTTTTGTTGACTTATTTTTTTTTCTGTAAAAACTGAATTTTTGGCTGCATGATAAACTAGTAAATGACAGGATCATTTGCAAAAAAGATGGAAACATCACATAGGAGAATCAGCAGGTTTGTTAACCTCTGATGGTATGGGGTAAAATTTAGGAACATTTAATCGTGTTTACAGTGTAGTCAAGGGGACAGAACTGGCAATAGCCTAGGACTGCCACCTACAAATTCACAAGTACATGTTCATGGAGAATTTGGCCATCCAGAAAGTGGGACAAATACCTGTCATGTTCCCCAAATCCATGACAATCTCTCTCAGGCATAGCATGATCTCTTCCTTTCTGCCTGCCTTCCTTCCTGCCTGCCTGGCTTTATAGCTCAACTTGTTTGTTTGTTTATTCATTCATTCATTCGTTCTTTCACTCATTCATTCATTCATTTAATCAGATATCGTTTCCCTGACTGTGTTGATTTATGAGTATTATATTCCTCTCTGCAGTCCATTGCAATGTGAAATATTTCTGAATTAATAAACCTGCCTTCACACTATTGTTTGCACCTACAGGTACCACATTCACAAGTTTAAACAGTAGTTATAGTTATATTCATTAGAGGGAATGGGGGAGATGGAGGGGGAGTCATTTGGCATGAAGAGAGCTCCTTTGCTTCTCAGAGGATGGTCAGAAGAAGAATTATCAATACAAAGATATGAGAAAAGAATCAGGGAAAAGAAGCTTTCCTGAAGTGCCAGAGATGGGAGAAAACTTTACCAATCAAGTAAGTGGCAAAGATCAATCACATTAGGGTTTGAAAAAAACCCTTTGCTTGTAAATAGCTCTCTATCTTACTTTATGGGTCTCCTGGTTCTGGAATAAGTAATACATGTGTTTTTGGAGATGGAAAGGATATATATTGTAGGAAAGGATCTCAATTTAAAAATATAGAATCTAATCCACTTTATGTCTCCATGCTCTATGTTCATTAACGAAAACCCTTACTATTTGAAAACAGTTTCCAAAGAGTCATGAGAGAGAAATCTTCATGTTTCTTTTCCACACTCAGAAAATCTCAAAGCAAGTAATGACAGTTTCTTTACATCCCCAAGCAGATTGCTGGATGAATTCACCCAAATGCTGTTGACCTTTATTTAAGCTCTGAGCATGGGCAAACTTCAACCCTCAGTCACAGGATGAGGGACAGAGATAGTCAGCTCGTTTAATGTAGGAAAACATTCATATAATATTCCACTTTACTGTCAAACATATAAAAGTTGCTATGATCCGTGTCTTTAAGCTTATTTTAATCTCTGATGCATTATCACCAAGGATTCTAGCATACCCCTGTACATTTTTTTTCTCAAATTATTTTAAATTTGGCATTGTTAATAATGACTGTGAGAGCGGAGAAGAACATGAATCTCTCCAAGACAATGTGCTGTCCTCACCACTAGGGGAAGACAAGAGGCTCGAAACGAACAGCTCCCCAATAGATGTTGGATTCGGGGATTTGGGGGAATAATCTTAGAGCAGTGGTTCTTAACCTTTGTTACTTGGATGCTTTTGAACTGCAACTCCCAGAAACCCCAGTTAGGACAGCTGGTGGTGAAGGCTTCTGGGAGTTGCAGTCCAAAACTCCTGAGTAACCCAAGGTTAAGAACCAGTGATCTTAGAGGATAGCCAGAGGGTGGATAGTCTGGAGACAGGAAAATGAACAGAAGATATATGAGAGGCAGTTTGAAAAAACATGGGGAAAGGAAAACAGGAGGAGCCAGGAAAAGGGGAGAAGATAAAGGGGACAAAGATGGGGGCGGGAAAGAAAGCTCAAGGGAGAAAGGAGAGATAGTTACCAGATGGATGGAGGTGGATTAGTTTACAGAACCCCTGGACAGGGGAGTGGGATAAACTAATGATTCTCCCTGTGATGTTGGAAGGTGTTGGAATTATCACCATTCAGCAAAACCCTCCTACTGGGGAAAACAGAGGAAAGAGCAAGAAAAGCAATAGAAAAGGAGTGGTTAAGATACCAAAGGTGCCAACAAGAACAAAGTAGATGGCAGAAGCCAGCAGGGAAAGGATAACCTCATGGCAGGAGGATATGTAGAATTGGGGGTTATGCCCTTGTTGCCCCTTCCCAAGTTTGGAATATCATCATTCCCCACTTCGTCTTTCTGACTTGGGACACCATGGCAAGCAACAATCCTCTTGAGACCCAGTTGATCTTAAGAGACTATTGATGTTCTCACCCCAGATGTGCCCAGTGAAGGAGAACACGGATCTGCAGAAATCATTGTTGATTTACCAGAAATTGAGTGAAATAAATAAATTAATGTTAAACTGAAAACTCTCTGAGTTTCGAACTTGGGGCCGCTTCAGGAAACCATGTGGAACCCATTTGTAAATGACATATTTCTGTTTTCATGAATGTTCACCGAGGGTGCATCCTCTGAATTTTATGTTAAGGAACATCCTTAAGGTTACATTATTTTGCTGGGTATGCAATAACTCACTGAGGTGAACAATCCTATGACTTGGAAGAGCCTCCTTATTGAGCAACTACAGACCTTATTCTACCCAGGCAGAAGTGGGAAAGGAACACTGTTTCATTCTTGTTAGTTTCTCTGCCATCAGTTGCAAATGAATTTCTGTTCACCCCATTGGTTGTATTCAGTGAAAAATGTGCTAAATTTTGGAACTATGTTGCAATATTTGGTCCTATCAACTTAGCTTATCACATTCTCTCCAAACAAGGGAACACAATTGGGCTTCCTAGTTGACATCCCCAAATCAGACTTCCTCGTTAACACTGTCCTTCTCACTCTAAACTTATGCTGAAGTTTTAATTGTTTTGCAGTACTTTCCTCACAAATCTCATATTTTGCTGCACTTCCCCAAATGGATGAATGAGTATTTCCAGTATGAAGGGCTTCTTGTGCACCCCTAGCGAACACTGTGCATTTCACTGAAACTTGTGCCAAAGTTCTACAAACCATTTGGCAAGCTTTCCCAGCAGAAAACTCACATCTTGGAGCACCTTCCAAATTGGAAATAAAATAAAATAAAATAGACAGAAATGTTGTGGCACCTTATAGAGTAACTTTTATAGTTTAATGTGAGATTTCATGGACATGTCCACTTCTTCAGACATAAGAGTGGGACTACATGTTGGGATTAATTTTTTTCCCTTCATACATGATCCCAAATCAGTGAGTGGACTTGGGTACATGTTGTTGAATTGACAGTGACCTTTAAGACCTGCCTCTCAAAATGGTATATCCAACACACCACAAAGGGGTGAATGTTACTTCCAACACAGTTTAATCCCTCTTGACTGACAATACTAGCCAAGCCAGATGGGATCTGTAGTCAGACACTATCTTCATGATCACATATTCCCCACTTCCTAGATAAACAATGTTTATGTAGCAGCATCTCATAGAGGTACGTTTGCCAAGAGGTGTGATTTAGGACAGCTTTAGACATGTCACCCTTCCCTGAGGCCACCACCTCGCTCATCCTTAATGCTCCAAAAACGTCAGTAATGATGCTGCCTTAAACAACGCTGCCTCATATTGATCCCTACAGGTGACAGGCCATAGCTGGCATTTTTTTTCTAATAACACTGGAGATATTGGTGTGCTAGAATCCTTAACCTGTCCCCTTTCTTTGCTCCAGGCTTCGATCATGTTCTTGATCTGAAAGTCAGAGGTGAAGTCTTGATATCCTTGCATTCTAGCATGGAAGTCTAGGGCTGACAACCTGCCTTGGATGGATCTTGGTGCTAAACCCTTCCTATTTA